ACTACAGGCCATTCTCCCCAATAAACATAGATGTAAAATCCTCGGTAAGATACTAGCAAACAGAATTCAACAAATCATCAAGAAGATTATACACCACTACTAGATGGGATTTATCCCAAGAATGCAGGGCTGGTTCAACAGACAGAAATCAATAAATGTAATACACCGTATCAACAGAGCCAAAGACAAAACCCACATGATTATCTGAATAAATGCAGAAAAATCTTTTTATAAAAACCAGCACTCATTCATCATAAAAACCCTACAGATATTGGAAGAGCTTGTCTTTTTCTCAATCTGATAAAAGCCACCTGTGACAAACCAACAGTCAACATCATACTAAATGGACAAAACCTGAAAAGCTTTCACTCTAAAATCAGGATAAAAACCAGATTTCCACCATCACCACTCCTTTTCAACATGGTTCTGGAAACATTAGCCAGAGCAATTAGAAAAGAGAGAAAAACAAATGGAATAAGGATAGGAAATGAAGAAGTTAAATTGTCATTATTTGCAGATGACATGATACTCTACATAGAAGACCCCAAAAACTCCACCAAAAGACTCTTAGAGTTAATAACCTAATTCAGTTGTATGGCTGGATACAAATTCAATACTCAAAAACAATAGCATTCTTATACACAAACAACAAACTTATGGAAAGAGAAATTAGGGAAACCACACCCTTTACAATAACATCCAAAAAAATGAAATACCCAGGAATTAATGTAACAAAGGAAGTAAAAATGTTATATATTGAAAATTACAGTACTCTGAAAAGAAGATGGAAGATGATATTAGAAAATGGAAAGATATCACTTGCTCATGGATAGAAAGAACCAACATAGTGAAAAAGGCCATACTTCCAAAATGGTTATACACATTTAATTCAACCTTGATCAAAATATCATTAGCATACCTCACAGAACTACAGAAAACATTCCTAAAATTGATCTGGAACCAGAAGAGACCTAGAATAGCAATGGCAATCCTAGGCAACAAAGGAGAGGTAGGAGGCATCACAATCCCTGACTTGAAATTACATACAAAGCTACTGTGATAAAATCAGCATGGTAGTGGCAAAAAAAATAGACCTGAGGACCAGTGGAACAGATTAGAAGATGTGGACACAACTACAAACACACTCAGCCACATTATCTTGACAAAGGGGGCAAACATGTTCACTGGAAGAAAGCAAGCCTCTTTCATAAATGGGGCTGGAAAAACTAGCTCTCTACATGTCAAAGACTAAAACTGGACCCATGTCTATCACCATGAACTAAACTAAGGTCAACATAATTCAAAGATATAAATAATAAAACAGAAACACTAAAGCTAATAGAAGAGAAAGTAGGTCGAAGTCTTGAAGGCATGGGGATAGGCACACACTTCATGAACAAACCCAAACTGCACGGGAAATACTTCAAAGAATCAACAACTGGGAGCTCATCCTATTTAAAAGCTTTTGTACATCAAAAGAAATCACCAATAGAGTGAAAAGACAACCCACAGAGTGGGAAAACATTTTACCTAACTATCCCTCAGACAAAAGACTTATATCTAGAACATATAAAGAATTGATTTTTTTTCATGAACTCTCTGCCTACCCCTATGTCTCCAAGATTTTTACTTACTTTCACTTCCAATAGATTTAGTATTTCTGTTTTAATATTGATATCTGTGATCCATTTTGACTTGAGTTTGGTACATGGTGATAGACTTGGGTCTATTTTCAGCCTTTGGCAGATGGCAAGCCAATTTTTCCAGCACCATTTATTAAAGAGACTATTTTTCTATGGGTGTTTTTTTGGCCCCTTTGTCAAAGATTAAGCAGTTGAATATGATCATGGTTGTGGCTGTTTCTTCCAGTCTGTTCCATTGATCCTCTGGTCTGTTTTTTAGCCAGTACTATGTTGATTTTATTACAGTAGTTTTTGTTTTCCTGAGAAACCACTTTGAAGATATCAATACATAATACAACAACCACTGTTAATTTCCTACCACTTTGTCTGTAATCCAGTATTCCTTGTATTGTTCTTATGCTATTTTGTAAATGGATGTCTGTTTGTTAATATGTTTTCCTTCTTTTATTTTTAAAATAAATTAAAAATAAATAAATAAAGTTGAGATAAAGAAGAATTGAAAAAAATTAGAGCCCCCAAATTCAAAGACCCAATCCAAAAATGGGCATAAGAGATGAATATGCATTTCTCAGATAAAGAAATACAAATGGCAAATAAGTACATGAAGAAATTTTCAACATCATTAGTCATTTGAGAAATTCAAATTAAAACAACACTGATATTTCATATCTTCCCAGTAAAAATGGATATCATCAAGGAATCAACCAACAACAAATGCTGGAAGAGCTGTGGAGAAAAAGGAACACTTCTCCGCTGTTGGTAGCAATGTAGACTGGTGCAACCACTTTGGAAATCAGTCTGAAGATTCCTCAAAAAATTAGAATTAGAGGTCCCATTTAACCCAGCTATTCCCCTTCTCAGTATTTTTCCAGAGGAATTAAAAACATTATACCCCAGCAATATATGTACAACCGTGTTTATGGCAACACAGTTTGTCATAGCAAAATCTTGGAAGCAAATAAAATACCCATCAACTGGGGAATGGATCAAAAAATATGGTAATTTCATTCAATGGAGTATTACTCAATAATAAAGAAAGGTAACCTCAAGGCATTCATAGGTAAAATGGATGCAAATCAGACTATATTCATAAGTGAAATAAATCAGATTCACATGTGTAAACATCATTTTGTCTCCCTAGCATAAGAACCTGGAAGAGTAAATAAAATCTGAGAGGTACAATAGATATTCTGAAAGGGAAAGACACTGCTCAATAGCAAAGAACTTGGGTGAGAGAAAGAAGAAATGAAAGAAGGAAAGGAAAAAATAAACATATACACAAGATAGCTAAGATAATTGCACTACTAATTTCTATTGGTTTATTGAAAGGAAGAGTTAATGTTTAATTGTTTGATCAACCTTGCATACCTATATCTGGTAACCTGAGCAGCTACTTTGAAGATAACAATATGTGATGCAGCAACCATTGTTAATTTCCTATCATCTTCTTTTAAAATTCTATATCTTTTTATTATTTTTGTGTTGTTTTGTTTTTGTTATTTTGTTTTTGTTCTTTTCTCTTTAAAATAAAAAAAGAAAAAAGAAATACTTTCTTTTTTTTTT